CCCCAAAACCCCCAAAACCCCAAAACCCCATCGCTAATCTTCACATTCAATGTTGCGCTATTATGAAATTAATGATTAATTAATCTGCTTTCATTTTTTAGTTTGAGGTGCAATCATGCTAGAGGGGATCATGCCTTATTAGGGTTTTATGTACTTACCAATAGTATCGACTGTTGTATTTTTGTCTTCATTTTTCTTGAAACCACTAAGCGATGTCCACTTCACATCTTAATTCTTCTGTTTTTCTTTGAGGCTTTTTAATTTCCACTCTTTCATTAAAATATCAGCTATTGTATCTCTATAAGGGTTTACTAATACGATTGTATCTTCAATAATGACTTCTTCTTTAGGCTGATCTTTATCATTCACTGGGATACCTTCAACCTGATCTAGGAATTCTAGCCCTGTCATGATTTTACCAAAGACTGAGTGTTTACCGTCCAAGTGAGGACATGACTTGAATGTAATAAAACTAATGAGTAACTTTAAATTAAGAGACTAAATTACAATTGAGATCCATTAGTATTTTCACCACTATTAGCCATTGATAGAATACCTCTGCCTAAATGAGGAATGCTTGGATGAAACTCATCTTCAAATTTATCTCCAAAATAGGACTTTCCTCCTCTGCCACTTCCTTCAGGATCACCTCCTTGAATCTAATTTATAAATTGACACTCATTTTATAATTACCATAAAGCCCTTAATCAGTCTATGAAACTTAGTGTTTTTGTAGTATTTATTCTCACACAACTCAAGGAAATTTTCTCCAGTCTTTGGTACTCTATCACAATGTATCTGCACTGTGATGCTGCCTTTATTTGTAATGATTTGCACACTTCCCTTGGTTTATTTACTCTTGATTGGATTGTAATAATCTTTCCTAATTTCATTGTCAGATAGCTGTCTCATCTGATTTGAAGTGATTGGTTCATATCTAGTACTAGTAAATCCGCTGCTGGCTTTCCCCTCAGTGCTAGACCCATGTACCCTACTGCCTTCCTTCTTTCTCTTCTCAATATATATCTTTGGCTCAATTCTCAGACTTTCAAAATCAGGCTCGATTTCAAAACTTTTGAAAAACTCGGAGTCTATTTTGCTCTTCTATGATTTATCATTCTTAGTTTCTTCATTTTACGCTTTCATTTAATCTAGAACTCTCTAAGCTTATGATGAGATGTTAACGAATTCATTTCCTTCTTTTTTCTTTAAACTTTTATCCTTTAATAGGTCTTGAATATTTTCATTGCTTTGCTTGTAATGAAAGTCATTGATTTTCCTTCCTGGACTTTTAGGATCTTAAATCAGGATAATCTTTTTTGGGTCAAACTTCTCGTCTATAAATTATATTAACATTCATTACGCTCTTACTAGTCAATAGGTCGAAGTACCATTAAGGTTCTTTATTGAGCTCATTGAAGGCTTCATATGAAATTACATTCCCTGTTTCTCTGACAGCTATTATATGAGTGTGATCTGTAAAAGTCTTGTAAGTAATAGGACAGTGAAACTCCCCCTACTCATTTTTATGAAAATTCAATTTGATAAGATCACTCTCTTTCATTGGGCCACCAGTGATGGGGTTTTTCTTGTATTTTTTTAGATAAGGGATTATCGTCAGTAGATCAAATATTATTCCATCTTCAGTGCAATAAGGATCTACAAAAGGTGCCATTGACAGATTACAATAGTAGAATGGCATCTTAACATATTCCTGTTTTTTACTTCTGTGTTCTTCTTTCTTTCCTCCCCACTCACTAGTAAGTTCGGAGTTAGTAATCCACATTTTGTCCTAAGCATGTCTCTTTTTACCCATTTTATTAAATTATTTTTTCTATTGATTTAATTTCTCAATTCTTATGCATTTTCTTTGTACACGGGGTTTTGGGGTTTTGGGGTTTTGGGG